TAGGATTATGGTTAGAGTTAGAATTATGTTTTGTTTTCCTATGTTGTAGGTTGGGGGTGCCATTCTATTCTTTTGATTGATGCAGGGTACGTCATTGGGGATTTGATCGAGTGGGAACCCTGAGCTGGTATTTGTTAGCCACCTGCCCGAGGTGGTTCCATTTCTCTGAACCTGTGAGTCTGTATGTTATTCTAATATTTTCCTCAAAATTTTTTAGGTTTTAATGACCGGAAATCGGTGTCTGGTAGGTGGTGTGTATATGTTCACTCTACACCGGCAGCAGCCTGTGGCCCCCGTGGACCCTGGGCTCACAGGGGACCGCCCTCCCCTGCACCGGGGTGTGTCCTTCTGCAGTTCTCTCCGTGGAGTCTGGTTCTCCAGGCTCCTTGCCTGTCTCCCGTTAGTAAGGGATTAAAACAGGCAGAACCCACAGCGACTGCCTGCCCCTTCACTCTTTCCACGCTTGTGCAAAACTGTTTTCTGTTGTCAGAATCTCCGTGCCTTTGAGCTGCTTTTCACTTTAAATACAGGAAACCCTCGATTTTGCAGACCTTGGTTTAACAGACTGGATTTAATGGACTTTGGAATTTAAAGACCTAACTTCCGGTCCTTATGTCATAGATGAAAATTAACACCCTGGTAATTTTAAAATGCTTTTAACCAAGATTTGCGTATAATTAAATTAACAGGGTTTTGTTTTGTTTTGTTACTAATTCACTGTTGTTTTTAACAAATTTTAGCTAATAGGCCATATGTTGGTAAAAGTACTGTAGTAATTTCGCTGACATTGAGTATTATATATCTACAACTACTCAAATCCCCGAGTCACTGCTCTCAAACATGTTCTGGGAATGGGTAGCTGGTGATCGTGCCGCAGCCCGTGCCGTTCCCACGTGCGCCAAGCGCGTCCTAGCCGCACGCATCTGCTCAGGCCCGGTGACTGGGGGATGCCCACATTCCGCAGACCCATCCGGTAGAAACGTAAAACCACAGTGTGACAGAAAGCTCTCCCGTGACATTTAACTTCCTAAATATGCCTAATTTTAATCACACAAACGTCTACATGAAAACAGGTAAACTAACTCGTCAATTTTTTAGCGTACGCATGCGGAAAACCTGCCTGAGGATGTAACGGCCTTTTGGCTTTAGCGGACGCCCCCTTGCCCGAGGCCGCCGTGCGGAGGTTGCTGGGTTCCCCCTTCGCCGGCCCCTCCCGGAGGCCGACAGAACCAGCTCCAGAGCTTCAGGCCGATACCCGTGACACGGCCCGGCAGGACCATGGCCTGAGGCCAGCGAGGCCCACCCCGTGTTTGCTCCTGGTGGCGGCATGGCCTTAAGGCTGTCCCAGGCCTGGCAGAGGGGCAGGTGGCAGGAACTGGGCGTTTTCCGCCCACTCTGTGGGAGGGCTCCCCCTAACTCACCATGTTATCCCCGTGCGTCCCAGGTCATAAACCACATACGTCCAAACCCTGTAAGTGGGGTAATTCGCCCTAAAAAGTTCAAGCATAAGACAATTCCAGGCAGTTTTCTGACGGGAAATGACAGCCGTAGTCGAAGGAATAGATGGGAAAGAGGGTTTGACTCTCCAGGTTCTACACGAAGCTAAGCCTCGTCTGTAAAACCGTTAGCGGAAGTCACTCCCACCCGAGAAGGGACGTGCTGGGCTGTGGACTGTGAGCTGTGCTGGGCCGTGGGCTATGGACCGTGAGCCGTGGTTCGTGGGCCGTGAGCTGTGGGCCATGGCACACAGGCAGCTTCTCGGAGATGTGCCTTTCCAAGGTGTCCCTGGCCACCAAGAGCCGAGCGCCGGGAGCGGCTGCTGCCCACTCGGTGAGCCACGTTCTCCTCCCCTCCTGCCCCCCCTTCTGGTGACTAATGAGCCACAGCTGGGCCTGAAGGTGGGTGACAGCAGCCTGCGGCCGGGCTGTCCATGTTGAAAGCATGGAGGGATGTTCTGTATGAGAGAGAAACGCTGACGCCGCCCTCTCCCTGGGCTGCGGGGGCTGCGCGGCGGGAGAGCTGCGGTCACTTTGGACTCAGGGTCCGTAACAGAAATGGGGGCGAGACAAGAGGGAGCCCAGGGAGCCTCAGCCGGACATGGGGCTGAAACGCAGGAGCCCCCACCCAGGCCCGATGTCACGTGTGTGACCTTCAGGCCGTGTGAGGGAGACCTGGTCCGGGTGGGGGTTCCCTCTGGACACGGCACATTCTAGGTGGAACCACAGTGTGAGGACGAGCAGCGCGGACGGCCCAGTCCCTCCAGGTGGGGTGGCTGAGGCTCCCCACTGGGCAGCTTGGAGGCAGCTGGGCACATACTGGCCACAAGGTGGCGCTGCACCTCCGTTCTCAATGGGGTCCGTCAATGGGGTAAGAAAACACTCCCTCGGGGTGGGCCGCGGGGTCCTTTGGGGAACCCTGGCGTGGGCTGCGTCTCCGAGTCCTGCTACCGGCCCGAAGGCCACGCAGCCCAGCCCCTGCCGAGTCCCATCCTCGGCTGAACGGGCATCGAACAAGCACAGACCCAGCCCCGACGGCGGGACCCCAGCCCCCCCACGACATCCAGCGGCAGCGACACAGAGTGAACAGGTTTACTGCCTACGTTGGAGGTGACAGGCGATACGTGAGAGTACACTTAGGATACATGTAGTTACGTCAACATAAAACAGCTGGTTACGATGAGCACATGCAGCTCCTGCAGAGGAAAAACACGGACAACACGCCAGACCGGCCTGGCTACGAGCCAGTGGGGGCAGCGGGTGTCCTGGGCGGGCGGGGCCGGTGCAGGGGACACAGCACACGGCCCAGGCACACCACGCCCACTGTTCACACACGCGTGTTGAGACCGAAGGACTTAGACACTGACCTTAACACGCCCCCTTATCTGTGACACCCAGGGTGTTGGTGGTCAGCCCTGGACGCGTGGAGTCCTCACTCACCACGGCTGGGCTTAAGGGACAGAGACGGGCACCCTGTGGCCTCAAGTGCTTTTCACGCAGCACGAGGCCACCCGCCAACGCACACACCAGTAGCACATGAAAAACACATGAAAAATAATGAATCCAAAAGATGCCACATGTGGCCCAGACCCTGCTGACGTCCGCCTGCACTCTGCCCACGGTCCGGGGAGAGGCTGCCGGGACCAGCGGGAGGGCCAGGCCCGGGTCCGCTGGCTCACGGCGTCGTGGGAACTGGGACCATCCTGCTTTGGGCTCTCTCTGGATACCTTGCCGTTTAGTGGCTCCATCTTCTCGATTCACAGAAAAGTGCAAAAACCTTTTCGAAGTGACCTCGCCTGGGCAACAGGACGAACATGACCCCCAGAAGCGCCCGGCAGTCGTCACAGGGGCCTCCGCTCGGGAAGCTCACTGCCTGGCACTGCGGCCGTCGCCTCGTCCACTGGACGGAAGTGCACGGTCTGGGAGCTGGTTCTGAGACCCGGAGAGAGGACGACGGAGGACTGCAGACCTTCTTCCTGCATCTCATCACGCCCCCCGATCGTCCTCACTATCCAGGCAAGACCCTCCCAGCAAAGCTACAGCTCCCGAGAGGGGGCTGGCACTTATTAGCAACGTTTTAAACTGGGGCCCGTTGGCGTTTACCCCCAAACATGCCTTAGACGTTTACTGCTCCACCTTAGAGGTGACCTTCAGACGGCCTCCCGTCGAGGCGGCTGCTCTCACCGTCAGGACCGAGTCTCCTCCTCTCTGGTGGTGTGTGAAGCAGCAAAGAGCACGTGCCCCCCCCCCCCCCGTGCCCCCTCCCCTGCCAGCCCCCAGGGGGCTCCGCTCTGTGGTGACGGGACCGCAGCCTCTCCCCGTCCCGTCCTCGGGGCCGAGGGCACCGCCTGAGCCCGAGACCCGCAAGGGCAACACGTTCACGCGGGAGGCTGGCACGTGGCTGCGGGCGGCGTGGGCGCAGACAGCCGGGCCCGTCCCTCTGGGCACGGCCGAGTCTGAGACGCTGCAGGAGGCTGTGAGCAGGGACAGGAACGTTCTAAAAACTCATCAGGCGACTGATGACAGAAGGTTCAAAACCTATTTTCAATTTGCAAGTTGAACTCCAGAACCCCCTCCTGTGGCTGCGGCAGCATCAGTCCCGGGGGCGAGTCTGTGCTGTGATCGCACGGGAGCCGGTTCCGGGTCAGAGCACAAAGGCCGTCCAGCTGTGCCGCTGGGCGAGCTCTGGGGCCGCGGGGAGGGTGGGACCGCGCCTGACCGTCACCCCCAGCCCTCAGCACAGCGGTGCGTGTCACCGCCCCTGGCGCCCTGGCAGAGGGTCCTGGCGCCCTGAGCCTGCTCCTCGGGCACCGAGGCCGTGGCAGCCCCACGGGGGGCCGGCGTGTAGTGTGTGAGTGGATCAGGGTCTGGAACGGAGGACAGGACACGCTTGTCCACAAGGCGCGTTGTCACCTCAGTGAGTGGGACTCCGTGGATCTGAGGCCCAGACTGGCCATGTCCGCGGCCTGTGGGCGCCTCACTGGGGCACGTAGCCGCCGGGCCGCACCGTCTGCGGGAGGTAGCTCTTCGGCAGCCCCTCGTCAAGGTCGAGCGCGGCCTCCACCCCACCCATCTCCAACCTCTCTGGCCCCTGGGCCCCTGGACCCAAGGCGTCTGCCGCAGGGACCTCCTGGAACGCCTGCAGCTGCCCAGACCCCGGCTGCACGGGTCCAACAGGGTCCTCGCCGGCCGGGGCGCCCGGCTGCGGCCGTCCTGCTGGGCCGTGGGGGCCCGCCTCGGGCTGGCTGCAGCTCTGCTGGAAGTACTGCTGTCGGGGCAGCGGGTCCGTGCCGTCCCCCGGCGGCAGCTCGTCGGGCCGCTCCTCGCAGTCGAGCAGGGGCTGCGTGGACTCAGAGCGCGAGAAGACCTGCACGGAGGGCACCTGGTGGCGGTAGCCACTGTGCACCACGGTGGAGTACTGCACGGCGCTCTGCGCGGACGCCGCCTCGGCCTCGTCGCCGCTGGACAGGCTCTGCCGCGAGGACATGCACGAGGAGCCGCCGATGCCGCTGCTGTGGCCGCCCGTGCTCAGCTTCTCCTTCCGGAACAGGTCCAGGGCCTTGAGCTCCTCCGGGAGCGGCTTCTTGTCGCTCGCCTCGATCTCCACCACGCTCAGGTCCGTGAGCGCGCCGTCCGAGAACATCTGGTCTTTTGAGTTGAAGTTATGCTGAGGGGGGGAGAGGATGGATTGTCACTACGACCCGTCACTCAGGAACTGCAGGCACACGCGAGGGCGGAGCCAGCCTGCGTCTCTGAGCGCCCGTGGCTGGCGGAGGTGACACCACTCCGCCACCGGCCACGAGCGCCCGGATCCAGCTACGGGGACATTCTCTGTGGGCCCCGGCTGCGCCTCGTCAGAGCCCAGCCCACGCTGCTGGCATAGCAGCACTCGCTCTCCACGCCCGGACGGGGCGGCCCAGGGCCAATGGGACCAAGAAACTAGAAACATCCAGAAAAAACAAACTCAAATGACTCAGGTTCCACAGAACATACACACACTACACATGTCAGCCTGTTAACTCCGAGTCCGAGGAGGGAAGGCAGCACACACAGATCCCTCCCTCCAGGGAGGTTCCCGGGATCCAGGAGGAAACCGCCCGTCAGCGCGGGAACGCGCCGGCTGCGCAGGCCGATGGGGACACGAGGCTGAATGCCCACCCGCGGGGCGGAACCGACACCTGTAAGCTTCGCGCTGCAGTACCAGGCGGCTTGTGGCCGACACCCACGTGTCAGCATGAATGTGCTCCAGGGGTAACGGCATCACGTGAAATGCTGGTTACGATTCTCATTCGTGTGCTATTCTGGCTCCACTTACTTTTGGATCCACCTGGTTAGCTCTAGGTTGACCCCACAACCGTGCCCTCATCTGCCCTCTGTCTTACCCGGGGCGGCGTGTGCGGCGACCACTGAGCGATGTGGCTCTTGGACGGGTCGGGGACGTTGGGCCAGATGTGCTTCTTAATCCTGGAGGGAAGGAGACACGGCTGGTGAGGGGCCACGGGCAGCACACGAGGGGGTCCCTGAGCCCAGACACACTCCCCCCAACAGCACCCGCTGAACCCAAAGCCACTGAGCAAGGCCTGCAGCCGCCGAGCAGCACCATGTGACAGGAGGACCGCCGCCCTGTCGTGACGCAAGGCCGCCAACAAGCTAAGCCGGTCAGCGACGTTCCACCAGGAAAACCTCAGGCCAATCCTGCACCGAGACCATGGCCGAGCGTCGCCAGGTCACAACGTGCGGCAGCTCAGCCCCTTCCGATGGCAGCAGAGAAAACCGCTCAACTTCCCACTGTCAGACAACAGACGCAGTTTCAGCTGGGCACCAGGAAAGGAACAAAGAGGAACAGAACTGAAAATACCTAAGTAAGGAGATCCCATCATCACAGGCCTCCTCAGGTGCGTTTCCCTCTACAGGCCCTGCCCGGTCAGGGCCCAGCTCTGCAGGGAGCGGTCGCGTGAGGGAAGGGACCTCCAGGCTGCCTCCCCGCACAACCAGGAAGTGTGGGCAGAGGGCTCCCACCTCGGCCCACAGACCAGCCACGAGCCGACTGAGACACACTCCTCTCGCCCCATCTGCGCAAAAAGCAAGTTCTCCCCAAGAGAGAACCTCACCCCGAGGGCGACCCCTGTAAATCCCATCAGACGTTTAAAAAGGAGCCAACCCACTCCCACAGGAACCCTCCCATAAGGGGGTAACACGCCCACTAACCCACAGCCACCGGGCGAGCAAGCACGTCCCTGAGCCTGGAGAACGGGTGACAGTTTCTGATAAAGTTAGACGTGCACCTGCCACACCACCCGGCGACCCTCCTCGCTAACGTAACACGTGACGCCAAGACGCGTCGCTCACAGCGGCCACCCTCAAAGAAACCCCGGAGCTTCCGCCACAGCGTGCGGGCTGACGCGGACGGACCGTGCCCAGGACACTGCTCCGCAGCGAGAAGGCGTGAGTCACAGCAGTGCTGGCCCTCAGGACGCCACTGGGGGAGAGCCGTCCGACACGCAGCCAGGGGAGAGCTGTCAGACACGCAGCCAGGGGAGAGCCGTCAGACACGCAGCCAGGGGAGAGCCGTCAGACACGCATCCAGGGGAGAGCCGTCAGACACGCAGCCAGGGGAGAGCCGTCAGACACGCAGCCCGGGGAGAGCCGTCAGACACGCAGCCGGGGGAGAGCCGTCAGACACGCAGCCAGGGGAGAGCCGTCAGACACGCAGCCGGGGGAGAGCCGTCAGACACGCTGCCAGGAGCAGGTGCGCACGGGGTACTCACAGGTCCCGCTTGTTGAAGCAGAGCAGCACGCCCAGCAGCGTGAGCAGCAGGAACGCCAGGCACACAGGCACCACGATGGCCTCGATCTCGCCCTGGGCTGGAAGGGGACGGGAGAGGAGACAGGGCTCAGCGATGCCGAGGAGACACGCTTCCCGCCACCCGGGCTGCGCACGCAGACCCGCTCCACAGCCCGACAGACCACCCTGCACAGCTGGGGGCGTCGGCATCCTTACAGCACAGGCCCTGAACGGAGGTGATGCCTGATCAGACAGCCCTACTGTGCGTGACCAGATGCAGGTAAACGCGCCCCTATGTGCACGGGGAACCAGGTATGTGGGGGACGCACTGACCTCCACATGACTTAAGGTTTACAATTCAAGTTATATTAAATGGGAGAGAATTTCCAGAAGTTAAAGGCAAATCAAAGAAGGAAGCAAAAAATGCTGCAGCCAAATTAACTCTTGAAAAACTTAAGAACGGGTCACTGGAAGAAGAAATGGCCGATGATCTTTGAGTAGGTTTCTACATAGAAGAACTTAATAAATACTGTCAGAAGAACAACATAGATGTTAATTATCGTGAAGTGTCTAAGACAGAACCTAGAGACAGGACTTGGCTGGAGATCTTAGATAGAACCTAGAGACAGAATCTAGGGAGAGAACATGGTAAAAGATCCTGGACAGAACCTGGCTATAGAACCTGGCTGGAGAACCTAGACAGAACATGGCAGGAGAACCTGGATAGAACCTGGCTGGAAAACCTGGCTACAGAACTTGGCTGGAGAACCTAGCAAGAGAACATGGCAAGAGAACCTAACCAGAACTTCGCTGGAGATCCTGACCAGAACTTGGCTGGAAATCCTGGCTAGAGATCCTGGCTAGGCTGCTGATCAACTGAATGCTGCCTCCCTGTCATTCCTTCATTGCCGACTCCGTCCACACCTTTGGGGATCCCTGGACCTGCTGGGGATGGACCCCAACATCTGGCGCCCGAACAGCCTGGAAGTGCCCCAATATCTCTGTGAGGTGCCTGGACTATTGGGAGAGATGAACACCATCCCATTGTTCCAGCCTTTCCACACTTCACGGCTGTTTCCCCATCCCTGTGGCCCATCCCAGCCACGCCGCTCACAGCAGGCGGCCCGTGACAGCGCTCACATGCTGGCGGGAGGTGGCGGGAGGCGGACAGGGAACCGGGCGGGAGGCAGCGAGGGGACCGGGTGGGAGGCGGCGAGGGGGAGGCGGACAAGGAGGCACAGGGCTACCTGGGCAACAAAGGGGTGAGAGCCGTGGTCGGCAAACTGTGGCTCTCGAGCCACATGCGGCTCTTTGGTCCCTTGAGTGTGGCTCTTCCACAAAATACCATGTGCGGGTGCACGTACAGTGCGATTGACACTTAGTGGCCCATGCGCAGAAGTCGGTTTTCGGCCTGGGCGAGTTCATTTTGAAGAAGTGGCGTTAGAAGAAGTGGGGGTGTCGGTCGGTTGGGCTGCGGGATGCACAGGGGGGGGGGGGAGGCACCAAATATCAACAGTACTTAGACTATACATACAGGTAGGTTAATAACAATGTACCTACCTATATAGTTTAAGTTTTAAAAATTTGGCTCTCAAAAGAAATTTCAGTCGTCGTACTGCTGATATTTGGCTCTGCTGACTAATGAGTTTGCCGACCACTGGGTTAGAAGAACCAAGGGAAGAGGCATTTTTGAGGACAGAGAGGCCACGGGAGTCAGACTGAGAACTAGGAAGATCGGGAAAGACAGAGGCACAAAGACCAGACCACAAAGGCTCCTGAGCGACAGCCAGGCTTCAGCCTGGGTGGGAAGGGGAGTCTGTGAAGCTGGGTTGCAGGGGTGAGTGGGGCCCGCAGGGGCAGACCAGGCCCCCAGCACTGGCCATAAAAGCAGGGACAGCAGACAGACCGCCCACGATCCGCCAGCGAAGAAACGAGCCACTGAGGAAGGCAGCCAGCTTTGGGGCGTTTTTAGGGTCCAGGTGAAACCAGTCAGAAACAGTTAATAGAACAAAAAAGGTCAGGAAAACCATTTTCTATCGTTTAAAGAAACAACTAAAACAGATCATAGCATAAATGTCTAATTTCTGAACCTCATTCCTATGAACCCAAAGATGGACTTTTAACAAGATTCCAGCACAGACAGCCCTTCAGGCGGATGAGCCAGAAAGGGGAGGCTGTCGCTCCTCACCGAACTTGGGGGTGGTGAAGGTGAACTCGGGGCCGTCCTTGCCGCCCTCGTCCGTGTAGGCCGCCATGCGCACCATGTAGAGCGTGTCGCTCGTCAGCGAGGACAGCGTGTACTCCGTGTGGGAGGAGTCCACGTTCACGGCTGGAAGAAACCGACAGGTCAGTCAGCTGCTCGGGCCTCTGCTCCCCTCCCCGCCTACATCCGACAGGGAAGTATCAACAGGAACGGGGTTATTTTACCCAAAACAACGTTCCTAGCTGAGGCGACAGGCCCGGAGGCAGCCCTGGGCAGCCTGCGTCTGCGGAGGGCCCGCCCCCGGGGAGGGGCGGCAGGAGGAGGAGAGACCTAATCGGCTCAGAGCCAGGAGGAAGGGGTGGGTCCCGGGGAACTGGCGTCTGTTACCGGTCTCGTTTCCCAGGCTGGTTTTATAGAAGATGGTGTAGTTCCTGATGAAGCCGTTCTGCACGTCGACAGGGAGCTGCTCCCACTCCAGGACGGCTTCGTTCTTCCCCACCTTCTTCGTCCGCACGATAGGGCCCTTGGAAGGCGCTGCAGAGAGGACGGTCATTTGCTAACTGGACGCCATTAGGCTTTAGTGACACTTCACCACAGCTCCCTGGACAGCTGAGCCAGCCTGACGGGAAGGCCTGCAGCGGCTCTGCTCACACCTTCCTGGGCGGGCACGGGGGTTTACAGGCTTGCTTCAGGGATGGACGGGGGGGTGGGGGGGAGACGGACGGGGGGACGGGCAGGGAGCTTACAGGCTTGCTTCAGGGACAGACTGGGGGGGCGGACGGGGGACTTACGGGCTTGCTTGAGGTACGCCCTCACGGCCTCCGGGCTCCCCGGCCCGTCGCTGTACACCGGGGTGACCGTGATTAGGTAGCAGGTGCTCTCTGCCAGGCTCCCTGGAGGAGAGAAGGAACCAGGCGCTGTTTCTCTCACAAGGAGAGTGTCTGACTCCACTGCTCATGTCACATCATAGCTTCACGGGCTTCTCTAAACCTGCAGCTTCTGAAGGAAGCCCTGCCTCTGTGCACTGGGTTCCAGCTCAGAGGGTAACTGTGCACGAGAGTCCAAGGCCACCCTCGGTGCCAAGGAGCGGGTACAGGCCACCCCTGGTGCCAAGGAGCGGGTACAGGCCACCCTCATGCCAATGAGCGGGTACAGGCCACCCCTGGTGCCAAGGAGCGGGTACAGGCCACCCTCGGTGCCAATGAGCGGGTACAGGCCACCCCTGGTGCCAAGGAGCGGGTACAGGCCACCCTCGGTGCCAATGAGCGGGTACAGGCCACCCCTGGTGCCAAGGAGTGGGTACAGGCCACCCCTGGTGCCAATGAGCGGGTACAGGCCACCCCTGGTGCCAATGAGTGGGTACAGGCCACCCCTGGTGCACAAGGAGCGGGTACAGGCCACCCCTGGTGCCAAGGAGCGG